GATCCCGTATTTCCCGCGCCCCGTCGCGGTATAAACACAACGCTGGATTTGGCCAGGTGAGACTGGTAAACCGCGTTCCCTCCGCGGGAAATTCATCACCTACCTGTCCCCGCCGCGGTTAAATCATCGATCAACTAGTATCGTAAACAAACGGGAGTTATCTCCCCGAACAGGAATTTTGCGAAATTCCCTCTTTAAAAAAAAAAAAAACAAATTAAAATCCCGCAGTGTATGTATATTTATGAAAGTATTTTCTTGTATTTCGAAAAAGATGAAAATAATGAATGAACAAAAAAAAAATGTAAAGCAGAATATATTTAATCGTTTTTTTTTTAAATTTTATTTATTATTATTAATTTTGTTAAGTTATATATCAATACTAAAGCGACATCTTTTTTAAAATAGTATCAAGAAAACTATTTATAAGCTGAGTCATTTGAGAGTTTAACGTGACAAACTTTAACGTCGGAAATATAAGTTCTAATAACTTCTCTTTTCAAATTATATGCGAACTGCAATGTTACATACACGTGCTAAACAATAGTCAGTGCGAGTTCCGATTAACAGTTTTCAGCATTCCTATGAGGAAGAAAATATATCTATATACTGTTCATTTTTTTTTTTTACCAAATTTAGAACAATATAATTCATTTAAATAATTTCACTTTACTGTATTAATGTGCAAGCATTTCCCTGAAATTGTTGAATGACCGGAAAGCTGTAATATTCGATGGTGAGCGTTTGCATTGAGTAGGCGCGTGAACGTTATAAAAGATATCAATAAAATATAACAATTTTTTTCCCTCGATATTTACTTCTTTTGTAAACAGTGGTTTTTAATTTAAACATTTCTCCAATTACAGAAGATGGAATGTGCATGGTGATGAACTGCACAAAACAATTAAAACGGGGGGGGGGGGGGGTATATCACTAAAACTTATTATTCTCAATAATACTCAAGAAAAAAAATCAATGCCAAGTTTACTTGAATATATTCTGTTTCTTTGTGTATTAAGTATTTGTCGCGATCATTTCCTGTGTATAGGGATTAGCAGAGCAAGAGCAGGAAACGGCATGCCCTAGGGGTTTCACACCTGTCCTAGAGTACCTGTGGTAAATTTCTCTGCATGTGCAAGGCGTTGTCTAGCCATACAACACACCAGTCCCTTCAACGTTTCATTATTTCATTATTTCTTCATTTTCAAATGTAACTACAACCATGAAAGTTACGCGAGTCAATATATACTTTTTTTTACCCTGAGTGTATATTAAAAGGAGAAAGATCAATCATACTTTTAAAACAAATTAATAGAGTTTAAATGAAATAAAATAGATCAAATCAAATTATGTTTTGTTACTTTTTTTTTAAATGCCGACGGGCTTGGTATTTATGTTTCTGTTTAATATATATGTACATGTACATGTGCATATATTATGCAAGTAGAATGTAAAATAAAAAAAAAAAACGCACAGAATGTTACGGCACGTGCAACGTTTTTCCTTCGGTCAGTTTATTGATTTATCGAGTCCATCGATTAAAACAAAATATTCATGATAGAATTTCAATGAAATGAATTGCTTCTGGATTATTTTTTTCAAGTTTCAATATGTCGTTTCTGTGAACAGATAATATACTGTAGCCGATTTATCAGTTTATTGTCCAGTTGTGGACTTTGACTAATTCTACGATCAAGTTTCTGAAAAACACCGAAAAAGTGACAGCTACAGACATTATTTAAGGTCTTCCGTTTAAATAGCACGATTAAAGACAAAAAATATCTACCGAAACAAGATCATCGTCGCAAGCCACGGGTTTTGTGTCCATTCTATTTCCACAAACCCGTGGCTGCCTCCTACCAAATTCTCTCGTTCTCGCGACTGAATCATTGAATATTTATTAAGTGACGCCAGATTTACCCTGACCAATGAAATCACTCTGTAGCAATTTTTGGTACGCTTAAATGGCGGTGCCCATAATGAAATCATGTTTGCAAAGCGTGGCAGATTTATTGAAAAAAAAAATACGATAGATCCTGAAGAACAGATGTGAGTAACGTATATTCTAAAATACTTACAAGGTTTTACATTAAAATACAGGGTTTCGAATGTAGACGTTGTGTGAGAACGCTGAATAGCGTTACTCGTTAAGAAAGGAAATTCGAACCGAATTTGATGTACAGCTCGTGGTTATGGTTACATCCAAATACAAGATAGACTGATCATTTTCATTGGTTCTGACTTGAAGCGTCAGATGTTATTCCATTGGTTGAATGTATGTTATTAATATTCATGAGAACGAGAGAAATTTGAAGGAGGCAGCCACGGGTTTGTGGAAATAGAATGGACACAAAACCCGTGGCTTGCGACGATGAAACAAGATATAATAACATATTTTGGTGACATGTGGTAGGTACATGTATATGATATTTTAGGCCTGATATCCAAGAGGGGTCCAGTGTTAACAAATGGAAGTGACTTACCTTCTCTATTTCATAATACCGCGGGTATGATTTTTTAATAAAACGTTAATTCTACGTTATTTTTATGGATTTTTCATATGGAGTACATTGTAAATGTGTACTAGAAGATTAATTTATGGAAAAAGACGAATAAAAATATTCTTGGACCCCGGGGTGTATATTGGGGGGGGGGGGGGGTCCTGTCCACAAGCACCTGTGCAGCATTCAAGCTTAAAAGACCGTTCAAACAATACAAATCAGGAACAGTGCAAATCTTTTGAAATCAGAGGTAGAATCAAGTGCCATGGATCTGTCATGTTGTAAATTTTGAACTTACCGGTTGTCAGTATTTACTGCCACCCGGTAAATTCAAAATTTATAGCATGAGAGATCCTTTTCACGCTAGCACTTACCCCGACACGAGACCTTATACGGTCTCATCCAAAGGACCGATCTCCACGTTTTACTACTTATCCAAACTGGGCATAAAACATTCTCAATGAATTTTTTAATCATTATGTTGAACCTAACAAATTATTCCGACTCGCTGTATGATCTGAAAAAACATGGCTGAACTTATCCATTCAGAAACTCACAGACTGGGATTGCTTTTAACCAGTGTGTGTTATGGCCTTGATGCAAGGTCATTTGGTCGAGTCAAGGTCACTGACAGAGAAACTGTAATTTCGCTACCGTATTTGTACTAGTGAAACATTGCTGGTATCATGCAGAGTGTGACATGGCCTTGACTCAAGTTCAAGGTCACTAAGGATAAGATGTTTTGACTGTATGTATGGACTAAAAGAACATGACGTGTCACTGTGAACTTTTCAAGTCGGTAACACACAGATTGGGTTTTATGACGAGAGTGTGTCATGGTTTGACGCAAGGCATTTGGAATGTTCAAGGTCACGTACATTCCTTTACAGTTTTTCCTAGCGAAATATTGTAAGTTGCTTCCCCTTACAAGATTGCTTACATGTATAACTTTAGAATGTGGCATGACCTTGACTCAAGGTCACTTCTTCCTTCCGCAGCTCCAACGGAAGACCTATTCGTTGCTTTGCAACGAGCTCGCTCTAGTTCACCTTACTTTTGTCTTGGAGCGTTCTCGTAGAAGGCTTAGAAAATCTTTATGAAACTTCACAGAAATTACGGTCAACACCTACAGTTGTGCGGATATATATTAAATTTTCAAAGAATGTTTAAAATTTAAAAACTGAAAAAATTTACTTACATATTTGCACTTGTATACACTTTTAGGCTTGATCTTTTTAAAGCTCTAAATTATTCTTTTTCACTGTCTTCCTAATTTCTTTTTTCCTAATATTCCTTGGGTACGTAAAGGCTAATCTAGTCAGCTTATATATATTACCAGTTTCGTGATATGATTAATAAGAAATAAAATATCTTAGCATTTCAAACGTACTAACGTTTCTTAAACACTACAAACTATTCATTTTATTTTCATTTATGTTTACGGGAACTGAAACGTATCAATGCACATGGAACGAAGTGTGGAGTTAAAACTTCTCTGGTTACAGTAAGGAGACGGAAAACCTTCCTAATGCCATAGAAACGAATTTCTATTAAATAAAAAGGGTCTTAAATGGTATATTTCTGCTGGGCGCATTTTATTTTATTTCCCTCTTTTTTAAATATAGAAGACCATGTCATAGTTTCCCCCTCCCCCTTTTAAAGACAGCTAGGTCTATACACAGATATAAAAAAAATAGCCCCTTTCCTTTATAAAAATGCCCGATTTGAAGGGGAAAATTCAGGAATTATTTTCCTTCGGCCATGTTTTGACGTGAATCTTGCTTTCTTTAAATTAAGGTCTTTCGTCTTCTACCGAAGATCCCCTTCTTATCCTAGGATATCAAAGAAAAAGTAATAGTTTTACTTTACTCCAATCAGATCTCTCAAAAATAATTTTCTTCAAGATAATAATTTATATAGCGTGTGTGTGAAAGGAGGGGGGGGGGGGACTTTTTCTACGATAACTCACTTTTTGAAACATTGGAACGATCTTACAGCTTACGGTTCAGTTCGGGATGACATACGCTATTGATTGCAATAGCAGATTTTCTCTTTGTTATTGTTATTTTCCTCCAAAATCTAAAGTTTATTTTAGGTAGTTCGAAATTCCAATTGAGTTTTCAAAACAGCTTTTCCATTTGTATTATCAATGTTTGTCATTCAATCAGCTCAAAATCATTTATCTACTCATATTGAGAAGGGGATAGCTGATATCAAAATATTTTACGATTTTTTTGTCGGGAACACTATAAAATAACCAGACAGCAAGTGTCGAGCAATGTCGAAGAAAAAATAACAAAGGAAGAAACCGTTCAATCAGATGGAGGTATTTCGTAAAAAGTATAAATCCTAATAATTTCAACCAGTAAAAGGCTAATTACCTACAGCTTTCCTTAAGTCTGAACTTATAGAGTATGCAATAGACAATCTTATTAATAAACAGTTGAAATTAGATGTAAGATTTTATTCAAATGCTTCGACTATAAACTAATTGAACATTGATCACTGCAAGTTAAAATTAATTTGAAATATCAAGCGGTTTTGTCAATCAGCCAATCATATGCCTTTTTCCATTCTTCCCCTAATTTTATCTTCCACTACTCCAGTCTGTAAAATACATAACTAAAATTGTATTTCATATTTCAGTAAATGTTGCAATATAACTCTTGTTACTAGTGATAGTCACAACTCCTAAGTCTTTGAACAGAAATATAATAACAATGAATTTCTCAAACATTGAGAAGCTAGTAAAGACAATTATTATGAAAAGTTCCAACATAGTATATATTCACTAATGTATCTGGATAATAGATACTTACTGCGCATACAGCAGTAGCCAAGCTTATAGGGGATGAAGGACACAATTTTACAATATTTTCTGTGTTGACAATGAAGGTCATGACGACAGCTGCGACGATAGTGGTGTTGTTGCTGTTCGTAAGGAGGATAAGCTGAAATTAAGAAAGTTAGAATTAATATTAACTTTTCAAAATCTTCCATCATTTATTATAATTCGATCTACAGATTAAAATGTTGACTCAAGTGCTGAACGCTGTAAATCACCATATTTTCGTAGCACTTTATTTTTCGCAATATAGTATTATTGCATGTATAATCGAGACAAATTTTTCACAAATTCTAGTTTTTGTTTAATATAACTCTAACAAAAAAAAATACTATAGTAAACTATAATTAACACATGCATCTAAATTCACAGTGTAAATACTCCTTGTGTCATATTTAATAGGTGCTGCCTCTTGTTCTATTCCATGTGTCAAGATGCATGGAATTGACCACTGAAAAAAGAGATCAGAGTTAAGATTGTATCATAAGTCTTATTTTCCTTCATATAGTAGCAAAAATTGCATACCAAAAGAACCAAAACAAAGAAAATACAGATTAAAACTACAATTAGAAAATATGATCTGATCATTATCATGAAGAGGAGTACTTCGGTAGTTATATCTTCCCAGAATTATCGTAGAAAAAGAAATAAGAAATGATTCGCTCAGCTAAGATAAATCTGTATTGATTGCTTTGTTTTTTTAGCGGATAAAACTTCATACAGTATGTACGCATTGTGCCAAGACACATAGTCGAAATAACAGGATGAATGAGGCAAAATAGAAGCATGAAATATGTGGAGCATGAGTTTAGATGCAATTGTCAAGATGCATAGTGTAAACCGGCCTTAAGCGACAAAACATTTTCTTTTACTCTAGTTTTAGTTTAATATAATCCTTAAAATTTTAATTATGCACGAGAATGAGGTTGTAGCGAACATACTTCCGCGCACAAATTTCCCGAAAAGAGTTCTTTCAAATAATAATAAAAAAGATTTACAGGATTCAGATCAACATGAACTTGTCATTGATACTATAAATCAACATTGTCAATCATTGGCTCTATATTTGTAGCACTTAAGAGTTCTAACTTAATTTTGTTTTTGCAGGATTAATATAAATTCTAAAATTGACCTAAAAATGTGATTAACTGTGAAAAAAAACAATTTTGAGAGAGTGAGGGGGGGGGGGAGTAAAAAGTAGAAAGTACACTCACCGGTCGTCAGGGCCACCAGACAGAGAAGAGTCAATACAACGAGAAGTTTTCCCATGTTGATGTAGGTCAGATAACGAGATGGTCGAGATTGATGCCTTTAATACAGTTAGAGTACCTACATCCACCAATCAATGCATTTTTGAATTATTTCCTCGTTGAATTTATTTTGTGGTAAACCTAGGCAGAAAAGATAAATGATGTCAATGTTTTGGAAAATAAAATGATAAATATCTGAACCATTTTTTAAATCATTATACAATCATGTATATTTTATTTACATAAACTTTTTTTATGAATGAAAATAGCAACCCACCGATCAATTAAAAGATTGAATAGAAAAAAATTTAAATATGAAGAGGTTTGTAAACCTAAAATACCGTGATCATTGAGCGGCATCTAGTCTCCTACTCTGAAAAACAACTTTGCGCAACTGTAAGTGCAAACTTGTCGATCATTTTCTGTCATTCCTGTTATCCAATTCATATTATTTTTTCAAACAAATTTTTAAAACACACATTACCTTTCTTTAGGTACAGTAATATTTTTTTCTGAGAAAAATCTATCAGTCTGTTAGTATCGTATAATTTTCATCTTAGCACCCCATCCCACTTTTCTTGTAGTATGTTTGAATCCTCACACGATCATTCACCAAATTCTTTTTCTGACAATATTGAGTGAAATCCAACCCCTCCCAATTTAAAGATTCCTTTTTTTTTACTTTGCTTGTGAAATATTTTTTGTTCTTGTTCCTAAACCCCCATGGAAAATAATCGATGTTACTGGTTGACATAGAAATGGATGTTTTTAACCCTACAGTCATATTATTACCCACCTCTCTCTCTCTCTCTCTCAACGAACTTGCACTACAAAACACAGGTTTCTAACCTCCATTATTTACTACAAAAGTAAAATTGCAACATAACCTTAATATATAATGTGCAAAACATAAGTTTAGAGTAAGCTCTTCACTAATATGTCATATCATTTAAAAAAAGTATGTATACAATTGGTTTCAAATATATATAACCCGCATTAGCTCAATCGGTAGAGCGCTCGCTCCGTGATCGGAAGATCGTGTGTTCGAATCAGGTCCGCTACTGACCTAATCGATGAAAAATAGGTAGCAACTATTCCTTCGCCAAGCGCTCGGCACTTTGGAATGAAAGTTGTGGGTCTTTCGGATGAGACCTTAAAAACTAAGGCCCCGTGTCACGGTAGACGTTGGCACGATAAAGAACCCTCACTGCTAAATGGCCCTGAGTGCCGAGTAAAGGTTTAAATTTGAAGCCCTTCACTGATATATGGTGACGTCTCTATATGAGTGAAAATTCTCGATGTTTTAAAAAAACACAGTATGATATCAATCAAATACATGTTTGTCATGATTTTAAAAAATTAAGACATATTTCAAATTTCAGGTGCTTTAAACATTTTAGTGATATAAATATATAGAAAGAAATATACTGTGATTTGAGATTTCCTCTATCAAACAAGTTGAAAAAAGTGTATATTAGCGAGGTTTGCCGAGAGAATAAACACCATTTAACAAGTTGGATACTGCAAATATCAAATCACACAGTTATAGCTGTTTTTTTTTTTAATCTCGTTCAAATTTCTTTTTTAGCAAAACTTTGAGATGACTCCGGTAAAACTATGAAGGATTCCATCAAAATATTTGACGCAAAAATTGATGACGTTGCACTGTTGATGTTGACATAACGAAAGATAATAGATCATGTACAAAATATGAATTCTTGATTGATATTTGCGTCTTTTATAACATATGTAGCAATTTGTTGGTGATTTATTTCATACAGACTCTTGACTTGGAAGTTGTAAAGACCGAGGGTTTTTGCATCTTACTCTGAAGTCATTCTTTGTATGGCGACAGTGATGGGCTATAGGACTTTTGCGAGGAGCGCTGACTTTTACAGTTGACGGCTTACTTTTACACTAGGACAATGTACTGAAGCTCTTCTACGATATAAATATTTAGGTCAATATTTAATTAAACGAAAATAACGGGTTATTTCAAAGCACAAATAAATTGCCCTTGAAGCAAACGACAACCACCTTACCCTAATCTTCCGGCCTTCACATGTTAGTGCCCCTAACACCATACCTATGACCACTAGGAATATTTTCCCATCTATTATCAATTCTGTACCTCCATACATGATACAGGTTTAAATGTCAAAGTAAACAGTCAACTGTAAAAGTCAGTGCTTCTCGCAAAAGTCCATTTGTGGATCCATTGTAGATCCATGGTAAGTTTAATATAGTATAATGTAAGAAAGCATTGTTGAAAGTGGCTAGACCTTCCAGCAGGGTCAAACAGATGTCAAGGGAATCTTGCACCAACAACTTCAATGCTAGGTAGGGCTATTGATTTAATAAAAACGATTTAAAGGATGGGATGTGTTTTAACATCTGTCTTTCCAGAAGCCAGAATGATATATTGAAAAATTAATTTGACATTTCATTGAGGTTTAACGAGTTTCCCTTATTTTTAACGAACAATTTCGCTCATTTTCATTCATTTTATAAAGCAAGAATTTTCTCAAATCAATATTTCGATAAATTTACATTTTGAAAGGAGGGATTATGTCAAAACCGGAAGTGCTATTGGTAAAACATATATAAAAAAGACTCTGAGATAAAGCACATGCCCTCTTCACAGATTTGAACCGTCACGGTAGCTCAGTCGGTAGAGAGCTCGCCCCGTGATCGGAAGGTCGTGTGTTCGAATCAGGGTCGCAACTGACCTAAGTCGATAAAATCAGGTATTGGCTGTTCCTTCGCCAAGCGCTCGGCACTTTGAAGTGAAAGTTGAGGGTCATTCGGATGAGACCTTAAGAACCGAGGCCCGTGTCACGTTAGGCGTTGGCAAGATAAAGAACCCACACTGCTCAATGGACCTGAGTGCCGAGTAAAGGTCTAAATTTGAAGCCCTTCACCGGTATGTTGTGACGTCTCTATATGAGTGAAAAATTCTCGAACGGGACCTGAAACAGCAGACCATCAATCAAAGATTTGAATTGTATATGTAGATTTTGAAATCGATAACTGTTCATTATCTTAACATGTTTATCATTTTGCATATATTACTTAACATTTTATATTTTAAAAGTTTTAAATACTGAAATTTTATTTTGAAGAATTTCATCTTTAGAAAGTGAACTGCGTGTATAAGTTGAATTTCAAAAAGTAGAATTAAATCCAAATTCTTTATAAATACGGTTATAACAATGTGCCTTGAAAAGAAAGAAGATACATGTATTGATTTATGCCTTTGTTGGAATCATATTGTCTATGTAGTCTTTCTAATTCTTTGATAACCTCCGATGAATTAATAGAGATATGAATAAATTTATTCAACCAGATAAGAGTTAAATAGCACATACAGGAAATAAGTGATATGACCTGGGTCGGAGATTGCATTGACCTACTGTGAAATGGTACTGCAAAGAATTAACTCTAGAAGAGAAAGGGTTTTATCGGGAAAAGGTCCTGACACTCTCTAAACATGCAGTGTTTTTGTTACTAGCAAATTATAAAGAAACCCAAAGTATCAAAACCTCGTATTGTGTCTATTGAAAGTCTGTTATCTGATTCTCGAGAGATAGGGTATCCACTGTCAAACGGAAGGATTTACTGAATTCTCTATATCATCATATGCATTCATCCTCATTAACAAAAAGTTAATAAAATTGCTTTTTTACCCATCTGAATATGTATAAGCAGTCTCCCATATAAAGATGTATAAGAAGTCTCCCATATGGAGATGTATAAGAAGTCTCCATATGAATATGTACAAGAAGTCTTATGTTTTACACACCCCCTCACACCCCCTCACACACCCTCACACACACACACACACACCCCTAAACCCACACACCCACACACATACACACCCACACCCACATCCACACACACATATATATATATATATATATATATATATATATATATATATATATATATATATATATATATATATATATATATATATATATATATATATATATATATATATATATATATGGAGAGAGAGAGAGAGAGAGAGAGAGAGAGAGAGAGATTAGATAGATAGATAGATTAGATAGATAGATAGATAGATAGATACACACACAATATATATATATATATATATATATATATATATATATATATATATATATATATATATATATATATATATATATATATATATATATATATATATATATATATATATATATATATATATATATATATATATATATATATGGGGGGGGGGCAAGCCATGAGATTTTGGATTCAAATGAGGGATTCTTGAAAAATTACATGTTTAAAATTACTAAGATGAAGTCTTACCCCCGTATGTCATATGCACACATATTTACAACTCCTGTAGTCACATATAGTAAACATAAGAACATAGATGAACTGTCTCAGATTAAATAAAATTTAAAATTGATTGATGTGTTCACAAGGTTGGCCCCTCGTCAGCTTATAAGGCGACTACTCTGTACCTTAATTTTCAAAGATAGGTTTGAAAATATCACCAAATCACTGTTAGTCATAGTGTATTTTATTAATGAAATGTTACAAGTGAGTAGGATTCTAATAAGCTAAAGGCAAAAGGTGAATACGTCGCCGTTGTTTCATAACAAGAACCCCCCTGAGACCACAATGTTATGGGCACCATTTTGTTTCCAACAAAGGCTTGAAAATTAAAGTAGATCAAAATCGGTCATTCTCATAACAACCGGATTTTGGTGAAATTGTATTTTATGCATATGAAAGTTGATGAACAATTAAAAAAAATATATTTGAACGAACTTATCTAAAAAAAAAACTTTTCAGTCGGCGCGATTTAATTGGCTCGGTCGCGTTAGGGGAAACAAACATATTTTTAATTTTGGCCTTGAGTATAAACATTCCCCCTCCCCCTTGAAAAAAAAGAATATTCCTGCACCATGCAATGCATCATTGTTTTTGTGATACACAGGCATAAAACATTTTTTTCACAACTTGGAAAGTTTTC